GTCAAATCGAGATTGAAGACTTTACTAGAAATTTAACCAAAGTACTTCAGGACAGGGTCAGAGGTGTCAGACGAGCACCCGCCGTAGGAAGGGGGAAAACAGCGCCTTGGTGGACTATGGACTGTATAAGGCGACAGATTTACTACAGCACAGCCAAAAGAATATCTGGAGATGTAGGAACGACACTTAAGGCTTTCCAAGCGGTAGTGCAGTCAGCCAAACGCGAATACTGGACAAAGCAAGTCGAGGCAGCAGAGACAGAAGCACAAGTGTTCAAACTCATGCGATTGGCGAAGCCAAAGCCGAAAAAACAGCTCTCTCCTCTCCAGGTAGCAACAAACCAGTGGCTTTCCGATCCACTCGAGCGGAAAATCGCACCTCGAGTTTCACTCCTTGCAAGGCTCGACGCTAAAAGCGATATAGAAACATGAGATAATGATCAACCAGATTTTATTCCATGGAGCGGATAGTTGTCACTGGAAGACGTTACAGTATCAACCAATGCAAGTAAAGAAATGGCTCTGGGATATGACGAACTCACTGTTCGACTCCTCAAGGCTTGCTGGAGTACAATTGGAACATATGTCGGGGATCACTTCCAGGCATGTTTGAACTTAGAGTACTTTCATACGCCGTTCAAAGTAGTTAAAGTTGTACTTTTTCCTAAAAATGGACGTGATATCTGTAGCCCGAAAGGATGGCGTCCCATATCGCTACTCTCCGGCTTGGGCAAGGGATTGGAAAGGCTTATAGCTTAAAGTATGTCCTGGCTTGCAATAAGGCACGAAGTGGTAACACCACAGTTATTCGGCGCACTACCAGAAAGCTCAGTAGTTGACTTGGTATCATGTGTTACACACGATGCAGAAGCTGCGATGAGATCGAACAAAGTCACAGCTATGGTCACGATGGACATATAAGGTGCCTTCACTGCAGTGCTACGCAATCGGTTGCTCGCGCGAATGCGAAGTCAGGGCTGGTCGCTATCACTCTGTCGCTGGGTAGAATCGTTTCTGAAAAAACGAAAAGTTCTAGTAAGATAGAAAGAAAGCGCAACAGATAAGAAGCCTGTTGAGTGCGGTGTCCCACAAGAATCACCACTTTTGCCACTTCTATTCATATTATACATCTCAATTCTACTCGAGGATGGTACAACTAGCTGTAGATTTGGATATGCAGACGACATCGCGATAGTCCAAGTTAGTAGAAGTTCTTTTGAAGATGTTGAGGCTGCTCAAATTGAAGTAGACAGGATAGTCCTACTAGCTTCGACACACATGATTAGGTTCAACCCTTCAAAGTCTGAGCTCCTGATCATTGGGGGTGGACCAAAGAAGAAACTAGACTCATCCAACCTAACGGTTAGAGTTCGGGAACAGCTTATTATGCCCTCTCCGCATATCCGATGGCTCGAAGTTTGGTTGTATTCACAACTATCATTCAGACGGCACGTTCAGGAATGGTATAGTAAGGCACAGCGACTATCCCACTTCATACGCAGCATAAACATGGTCCATCGAGGTGCGGCTTCAGGACCATTAATACGTGCGATGAATGCATGTGTTGTGAGCACGGCAATCTATGGTACTGAAGCCTGGTAGCCTGTACTGACCCGTATCACGATCAAATAAGACAAGAAAGTAAGCACGGGTGTCAGATAGCACCTCCAGCTACTAGATAGGACTTTTGACTGTAATTCGAGCTGCACTATCAGTGTGATGAGCTACACCAAATATAGTTCTGCACAGAGAATAAGGGGTCTTACCTGCAGAAATAATGCTCCAGCCGCGGCCAGAATCCGCCGACTTGATAGCTTTCATCCACTCGCATCAAGGGTAGTTGAGACACCTAAAGAGGTAACTAAGCGACTCCAAATGCGAGAGGGGCAGAAAGGACGTGCCTTTAGGCTTTTAGAGCGATACCTAACACGCCTTCAGAATGGGAACCTTGACCTACCAGAATCAGAAGGTCCCGGGTAGCTCTATAAACCGTGGACCGCGATTGCTACAGCCTGGGTCAAATGCGACAAGGAGGAAAAGGCGAAGCAGATTAATCTGTGGGTTAGAAATCTTCCCACAGGCCTGCTGTACATCTACTCTGATGGTTCATCTACCAGCCCAGCATACTCAGCCTATGGCTACGCCATATATAGGGATAGAGAACTCATAGCTAGCGGTGGTAATATCCTTCCTGGAGCTGAAATTTTTGATGCGGAAATTGTGGGGGCAGTACGAGGTCTAGAGGCGGCATTAAAAATTGGAGGGATGATAGACATCAAGGTACTTTTCGTCAATCATAAGGCGATTAGAGCCCTTGAAACTGGCAGAATAATTTTCTCGCAAGTAAAGGTAGTAAATTTCTTGGAATTATGCAAGACTTGACCAGCCATAGAGGTCTGCTGGGTCCCAGGACATAGCGGCATACAAGATAACGAAAAGGGCGATGCGATAGCAAACGTAGCACTGGCAGTAAAGTCTAGGCAAGGGGATTTACCGAGACCTAAGATCATCTGGGAGGAAGCTCACGAAGTTCTGACATTTGCAGCTCTCAAGCGCCAAGTCACAATCCGCGCACAGAAACTGGCAGAAGAATGGTGGCTCAAGAACAGACCGAGTATGTATGAAGATCTGGACCCAATGATGCGAAGAAAACGCCCTCCGGAGCTAGCTCTACCTTGATGGGCATATCACCACCTCATCGCAGAAAGGACTAGGCATGGTGACTCCGCCGGCTATCACAGACGGTTCTAACACCAGAATGTAGAAATGCCCTGCAAATGCGGTGGAGAAAAACGGCCATACCATTTTGAAGAATGTCGCCTGGCTATTCAGAGATGGCGGACAGAAACGAAGAAACTACATCCTACTATCAGGGATATGATGTTACGGGAATACTCCCTTGTGTGTATACTGTCTGCGCCAGTACGGTAGAGATGGAATCTAGGGTCTAGTCATCTATAGAGACTACCAAGGATGGAGATTGGAAACGGTTGCTAAGCAACGGAGACTGTTACGATCAGCGTCGTTAATTAAAATCCCTTATGTACACAGCAAGATGTAGAAGGCTTTCCGTCTTTAGATTTCGTTAATTAACTGATTTAATTCTGGACGTGCTCTGCTGTATACCAACACCAATTGATCCGACGACATATGATAGGGCAAGAAGGATGGCAGGAATTCTGGCGCTTTTTAACTGTATCAAAATGTTACAGCAAGAATGAATCATAAACAGGGGGTTAAAAGATCAACTGTAATGCTTCTTGGGTCCGATTGGCGTAGTACGAAAATTAAGGTGCAGAGCATGGCATTAGCACCTTAGAAATGGTGATTTAAATTATTTTTTGTTTTTGTATTAAGTCCTAAGCTAAAGCTATAGGTTCACTATAGGTACAAGACTGATGGAGCCGGCGGGGATCACTGCCAACAGGCCCAACTCATTCCAACTGTAGGACTCGCTATAGAAATAGTAGGAAGTAAGATACGACGCAGACACCCCCTACTCCAACTTCTAGATCAAAAATCACTACTATTCCCCCTAACTCTAATTTGCTGCAATCTTTCCTCAGAGAATCGACACTTCTAGCCTCGTTCCCTTTCGTGTCATGCATTGTGGCAATGACTAGCTTATCTGATCCCCGCTGAGAGCAGTGAATGAGTTAGCAGGTCGTCTATCAAAACAGCCGGTTTCCTGCGCAAAGTTTTTGAAGCTATCGTGGCACTTGGGCCCGAGAAGCTTTTTGATAAAGTCAACGTGGGACATTGACTTTATGAGCCTACGCGTTTGTTGTGCGTGGTTCAAGTTGTTATTTTTGTTCTTTTGCTTGCTTTGCGTTCCTAGTTTCTATGAAACAAAAATGTAGGTAGCGGAGAGTCCTACAAATCTAGACTACCCGTGCCATGCCCTCTGGGTGCTGGGGTAGTACCCGGTCACGATAATAATAATAATCATAATAATAATAATAATATCATATCATAACTCCATTATGTTCAGATGCTATGAGGATTATGTTTGACCAACTCTCTTGTAATTTAACATCCCTCAATAACCTTGCTGCTACCAGTATAGCAAATTCCAACTACGGATTTGTGGCAACTCCACCGGAGATAATGAAGGCATGACAGGATGACAAAAAGGTCTGAAATTTGTATGTGCAAGATGCTCGCAGATGAGGGTTGATTTTGTTTCTTGAGCCAACTTACTTTGTGGTGACGCATTTGCCATAAATACAGGCTATTATTGAACCTTCAATAAAAATTTAAAGTGACGTATTTACAACACAAAGTTCTGAAACTACAGCTTAATATTTGATCGCATATTAGATGAGTTAAAATATGACCCTGGAGTAGAAGCTCGCAGAGTAAAAATTCTACAGTTGAAGGATTTACGGACTATCATACATTGGCTGTTTCCTGAGACCAATTTACATGAAATCCCTGACGCAAAACTATTTCATTCAATTAGACTTGGTTTTATAATTTTACTTTAAATATGTCTTCGGTCATTTAGGCATGATGTTGAAAGGTTGCTATTGCGGCAAGTCAATCAATTTCTCAAGGCTGAGCTAGTTGATAAGTCAAAGTTGACAACGAGCAGAGGTTTCGACTAGAAATGGACATCAATATGATGGATACGTGGGCTAATAATTGAGTTTCATTGTGGTCCTAGAACTCGGTTCAACTCACATATCTTACGAGAGCTATGTCATCCTATTCTCTTTTGAAGGTTTCAAAGGCGATGCGTTCGTTTTGGTTCAGCTGTAGCTTTCACCAAGGAAGGATTTACCAAGTGAACCTTAACAACTCCTGATTTCTTGATTAGATTTTTACTCACAACCGTTCTAGAGAAGAGAATTGTGTGCACATTATTTATTGAAACAGTCCAGCGGAGGTTAAAACGACCAATGGCTATTCGATCAATATTGGGGCATCTGAAGATCTCAGAAAGTTCGAAGGAAAAATTTTAAAGACAGGCACTAAAGATTTATTTCGATACTTTTACAATTATTTGTTCTTTTGCTGCCTTTGTTTTTGCTGTGCCAGCCTATTCTCGAGATCACCTTGTGCTAGCCAGGTGCTGGCTTTTGCGAGTTGCACAACGTTAATTATCTGCTTTGCTAGCATAATAGGGAAGCTGATTCCTGCAATGACCCAAGGTACAAATGAATCCATTTTGTTGGCACGTGCCATTTCTAATGCTGCAGCACTATTTGGATTGGCAAAGAGAAACGATTTGGCAGATTCAGCCGCAAGAGATCCAGCCTCATGGGTGCCTTGAAGTAGACTGGGTGAAAGATAGGGCGAAGAAAATGATAAAAGATAAAGCGCTATGAAGAAAGTCTCATTAAGAGCACAGAAGAGGAACAGGACTGTCTTCACTAGAATCAGCTTTGTATTATTAATATTAATAAATGATTAGAAGATGTGTACCTTGTTTGTGTAATACAAATTTAACAACCAGCTTCTGCTCCTGTCGACAGACTTGTGGCTGGTCTTTGACCCACCCATGCTCAGGGTTGCATACATATGGATGTAATGACTTGCTAGATCTAGTGATATAAGGCCTTGAAAGAGTAGTGCCCATCGTGGCCAGGCCGATGAGAGGAATACTAGCAGACAAGATGTTGTGCATCTATCAGTTACCATATCTAGAACAGCCCCGAATTGAGTAGATTGCTCAAAATATCGCGCTGCGTAGCCATCTAGAGCGTCAAGTAGGCAGGATACGCTGTAAAGGCCTGAGCAAGTTCGAGGATGAAGTGGCATGTAATAGAGAGAAGCAAAGGCAAGTACGATGCGCATGTATCCTTTTCTGATCAGCACAAATTCATGAGTCTATTATCCTAGGATTTACCGATTATATTAGGCCAGAAGAGAAATATATTTTCTTGGGGTATAGACTTGAATGATTCATTTGTTCCAGCTGCATCTACTTCCATGCTAACCCCGCCTGAATCTGGGAGCGTGTCAGGGCTCGTAGTTGCCTGCCTACAAGTTTTAACATTGGACATAATTTTGGTTGCAGAATATTCGGTCGTATTGAATACTAGATTTAATTTCTTAATATTTGAGCGATTTGATTATAGATCCTTGTGGCAGAGGATTAAAATTCGTAGCTGTGGAATTGTAAGCCACGGTCACAAAAGCTGAGAACTAGAAAAAGAATAATGAGGGTAAAGTAGGTTTATGAGAAAATCTAATGTCGATGCAACGAGGTTAACAGCCTATGGGAACTATTTCTGAGCATGGTGCGACATTCCAGCTAGTTTGACCATGGAGTGATCGGCCCGAGTAACTACCCGACCGAGATCGATCATCTACTGCAAATGCACGCCAATCTGGTATCCTTCATACTATTAACAATGCGGCACAGTGTGTCAATTGCTTTGTCTAACATGACATTAATAAATGCCTGGTGCAAACCAATAACCCCCTCACCTTTCAACCATCGAGAGACCCATCAATAAAACGTCTTCCTACCAATCAGAATACTTCTAAAAAGAACTATCATCCGATAAAATGGCCTCCGCTGTTGTATCATCATCATCATCGTCAACGGCTTTCAATTCAGCAGGGAAACTCTATCCAAGCCTGCTAGGCATTGCAAATGCGATGCAGAAAGCAGAATACGAAAGAAAGGAAAGACTTGGCCTCGCCTTAGAGTCCCTTGAACTTATTGATACCTGGGCCAATACCTAGGCGGAAACAAACGGGTTGAAAATTATGAAGTCTTTCATTGTAAACATCGCTTCCATCGATACTCATTTTGCAACAGTCTCAGCGAAGAACTATGAGACCACTAGTAAGGTCTCTAATCCCCCAATAAATTCTCTAAAGCCAGTGATACACAAGGCATAAAGCATTCCTGTTGCACATTGCAGTGTTCTAACTATAAGGTCTTTGGAGAATACATCGCAGTAGGTTACAGTAGCCCGAGAATCAACCAAGCTGATAGACCCTCCTGCCGCTCCATTACCAAGAAGAACTGTTGCATAAACAAGCCAAACGACGAAACCGACCTCTAGATAGACAAACGCCTTCTCATATGTTTGGAAGGAGAAAATGAAAGACGTCGGCTCTCACCTATTACCATCAGGCAGATAATTACTGAACAGGCAGGAGTCGCTCCGTTAGCTATCACAGCCATGTACCCGGCTCGATCGGGTATCTTATTTGAGTGTCCATCTGATGCCCACAGGGAAACTATCCTAAGTGTAGGGCCATCCTTCCAACAGGATATCTTTGTCATTGAGGCTGCATCGAAGTGTATATCAGTGCTAGTTCCACACGAACTGCTCTACATTTGGACTTTAGAATGGAGCAAAACGGTCACTAATGAAATCGTGTTGTGCGTATGCCAATCTATTTATGACGCAGCTCCAATATTTGTAAGCCAATCACAATAAAAATTGTGACAATAATCTATAACTTGGCTTGTATACTTTCGCCAGAAATTATCGGATCTCAAGATCAGACTTTTTGAGGAAAGTGGACCAGCAATGCCTTTCACGCGTCAACACGCTTTTTTGGGCAATATCAGCGCTGTTGGGGATTTCAACAAACGCGAATTTGCATAAAAAGCCAACTTTGTGGAAGCTGCGCGGGTGTGCATGAGACTTCAGAGTGTCAGGCGAAAATTCTGGAATGCTCTAACTGTGCAGGTCCCTATGACTCTTAAGAGCTCAAATATATGGCTTGGCCCAAATGCCAGCATGGAGTTACGGATCATACGCGAGCGCGGATATTGTTACTTTAATCCCGCAAGAGCATATTCAGAAAGTAGTGGCAAGACTGTAGAAGTCACCTGTGTTCCAGAAACATCTATGCGAGGCTATTTATAGAGAACTGAATCTCAAACAAACCCAAAGATAAAAACAACACTCTTCATTCCCACCAAGTGAACGTGGGAAAGGGTACAGAAAACATAGACATAACCTTGCAACAATCATGAGAGGCAGAGGCGCATGTTCATATGTTGCAGGAATCGTGGACGATGGGAAAATATGGAAGCTCTATTACTTAAGGGCATCCTGGATTTGATAGCCATAGCCAAATCGGTGGGAAAGTAGCTCAGCCCCTAGCAAACGTTTTCATCCGCAAAAGCCAGCGGGACTTGCAAATCACCCAATCCTCAGGTCAAACAGCTAACTACTGCCTAATACGAGTTTCTGAGGTAATATTTATAAACGAATATCCTGCGTCGGGCCCAAGTGGCACCCTAGATCCGCTTTTACAGTTGAAGCCTTTAAAATCTACAGGGGTTGGAGGAGATTTCAACTCAGTATCAAGACGCAGGCAACCACAAACCTCACGTCAATGCGGCATTGGTGACCAGATTGTGGAAATGGTGACAACTCACGACATGTATTTAGCAACTAGGGCCGGGCTCCAACATATTAGAGCGGGAATTTAATCGATCTAGTATAGAGTAACATTTCAGTGGTAGCATTGATTTCAACGGAAATAAATTGTACTTCCAAACACATGACTACTGTAGCATCCACCCAGCTCACTATAATGTCGCATTCCCTGGATGTCTCGCAGGAACTGTATATGAGTGACCAGTGTCTTGAGATTCTTTCCAAGTATATCAAAGCCTTGGTGAAACCAGGACCTCTGAACTATTTCCCTGAAATAGAGGTCCAAATCTCTGCACTCCTAGAAGCACTCGATGATGCCTGCAAAGCAGCTACGCGCAAAGCACTAATAACCACTACAACGGCGGCACTGGTGGACCTAGGAATGCAAGACTAGGCAGCGCAAGTTCAGAGACTATAGAGGCTCTGAAGTTCTAGCAGACCAAAGACGCGAAAAGTTCAGATCTACTGTCAAAATGGCTAAAAGAGAACACTGGAGGAAGAGATTTAAAAACTTCACCACAGATGCGCAGGCATCCAAGCTAATACAATGGGCTAAGCCTATGTCGTATCGATAGCTCCACCACTAAGGGTTACAGAAAACAAGTGGCTCTCCAACCTACTCGAGAGGGCGGAGAGCCTGAGGGATAGTTTGATGGCTCGATTTGACGTAGATCAAGGTCTCTTCACGTGGGAGCTGGACTAAGAGGAGCAGATCCCTTGGGACAATACAATATCAATTTTTGACTAAACATAATGCACTATTGGCGGCGGAAGCTCGTCATCAGGAATTGTCAAACTAAATATGACGTTTTTCAAGGCATGCTGTACAGTAACCAGGATGTATCGTAGAAACATATTTCAAGCTTGTCTGGAGAATGGACACTTTTCTACAGCGTTAAGAGTAGCACAAGTAGGTTTGCTTCCAAAGCTAGGTCGAGACCTATCGAACCCTAAGATATGGCGATAGATATCTATTCTCTCGTGCTTAGGTAAAGGATTAGGACGTATTGTAGCTAAGAGAATGACGTGGTCAGTCATCAGGCACCAAGCAGTTCCTGCACAACTTTTTACTGCACAACCTGGACGTTCAGCTGTTGAACTTGTTTCATGCGTCATTCATATCGCTGAGGCAACTGTCCTGCATAGTTGCAAACTCAAATAGGACATAAATGGATAATGATAATAATAATATCGCTGAGGCAACAATAAGGAACAAGGTCACAGCAATGGTAATGATGGATGTGTAAGGAGTCTTTGATGCGGAACTCCACAAGCGCCTATTGCGTAGAATGAGTGACCAGGGATGGACGAAGAGTCTATGCTGATTTATTTAGTGTTTTATGAAACGAAGGAATATTCGTGTTCGTCATCGAACTGGAACCCCTGCGATAAAATTCTGCAGTGAGGAGCTCTCCTGATCTCACCGCTTTCGCCCCTACGTCACCTCTTATATATTACTTTTTTAGTTGAAGATGGGGAAAGAGAGAGGTTCGGATATGCTGAAAATATCGCCATCCTTGGAACAGGACGTACCACTGTCGAATCGGTAGCAACTGCCCAGAGAGATGTTGATAAGCTCGTCCAGCTGGCAGATGAGTACAGGATTAATTATGACTTAGCCAAGTCAGAACTCCTGATAATAGTTGGAGGTCCAAAGAAAAAATGAAACGCTTTAGGTCTCACTGTCCATGCCGAATATTTTCATGTATCTTCGTCACCACATTTAAGATGGCTCAGGGTGTCACGAATTAACTATAAAAAGCAAAGAGCATTTGTATGGGTGATGGTATACTTACAATTTAACTACGGAGGGTTAAGCTCTACACAATAAGCCAGATATGTATACTGTCAACCTAACTATGACCTGCATCCAAAGCGATATGAAACCGACAAGAAAGTAAATATAGCCCTGCGGCCTAAGTGCGCCAAGATCTCACGTGAGATATATTGTGCTCTAAACGTTTTACCTGGCGTTATCTCTGAAAATATTGTGAAACTGTTTGTATTCACGTAATTATCTACGAGTTGTAATCCTGTAGCTATCTATATTCATGTCATCTACGATTCGTAACCTTGTACTAGTATAAGTCGCTCCTGACAGTTGCTGTTTGCGATATTGGAGATAATCATGTTCTAACTTCATACTTAGGATTATTTGACACGCTAAGTTTGTACAATAGTATTGAGAGATTATATGCTCTGTACATGGGTGATCGGATGAAGAACGGAGGGACTTTTATTCAAAGAGAGATGGAATACTTCATAAGCATGGATCAATCACTTTTCTCCACTCTGAGATAAACTACTTAGTCCCAATTTATCAATATAGACTGACTCGTCGCATCCTAATTCGTCCCTCCAAGGTCAGCTCACTTCTAGATGATTCCAGTTGCTTCACCAATAATATCATTTATAGCAGCGTCTCCGAAGTTCATTCTCAGTCTTATTCACATTGAGACGTGTCTGGATTATTTATTGGTTCTAGTATATTCTGCAGGGCTCTTTGGCCATCCTAATCCCTGGTGGTTTAACGCAAGTATTGGCTACAGGAAAGCATCTGCTTTATAGCTGTTATACAGAATATGGCTTGACTCTCAGCTAAACTTGAATTAGCTTGTTCAAGAGTGGTGTAGGAAAGTGCAACGCATAAC